AATAAAATGCCCCAAATATTTAACCTCTGTTTCCACAAATTGTAGTTTCCCCTTTGAGACCTGGAGCCCTTCTTTCCCTAGGTAATTTAGTAACTCAACAGAGGCTCGACTAACTTCTTCTCTTTTCTTCCCTGTTACCAATAGGTCATCCACATATTGCAGCACTCAGGCCCGGGAGGTGTTATAAATTTTTCTAATATGACTTCTAGTACTTGTCCAAACAAATTTGGTGACTCGGTATATCCCTGAGGCAAAACACACCGTCTATATTGCTGCTTTCTTTCTGATTCTAGGTCTTCCCATTGAAAGGCAAAAATATCCCTACTTTCAGGGTCTAATGGGCAGGCCCAGGATGCATCCTTCAAATCTATAACACTGAACCACTGACTGTCTTCAGGAATTCTTCCCATAATGGTATAGGGGTCAGGCACTACTGGATGGAAGGAGAGGACCACCTTGTTAATTTCCCTTAAGTCTTGTACTAGTCTATAGGATCCATCCCCCTTCTTTACTGGTAGAATTGGGGTGTTAAAAGGGGAAATACAAGGTTCCAAAAGCCCATCCTTTATAAGTCCCTGGATAACAGGCTGGAGACCCCTCCTTCCTTCCAAGGGAATGGGATACTGCCAGACCCTGACTGTCACTGTTGGGTCTCTCAATGTGATTTTGATCAGGGTGATCTTCACCTGCCCCCGATTATGGGGTTGTGCCCAGACCTTGGGGTCGATTTCTTCTTCCTCTCCCTTTCTTAACTCTAGCATCCTTTTTGTAGGGATAATTTGGGTTCCTTGAGGTATTAACTGAATTGAGAGTTTGGTAATCAAATTCTGCCTAGCAAATTGATTCCCACCCCCGGTATCAAGAGGAGTCTCCCAAGGGCCGCTGTCCCTTCACATTCAAATTCAATAATTTCAGTAAGGGGAACAGTAAAAGTGTCTCCCTTCACCCCAGAAATAAGTAGAGTGTCTTTGGATAATTTAGTCCCTTGAGGCAACTGTACCACTGAGGATCTAGTGGCCCTGTTATCAATCAAGAATAGTAATTCTTCCTTTTTTGGTCCCACCCTTAAATTTATCAAGGCCTCTGGGTGGGTCGCTTCGATGAACCCGACACCTCTAATCTTCCAGCTCCATAAGGGCAGAGAGCCGAGTATTGCCAACATTGTACAGATTTAGATTTTATGAGAGGTCTTCACCATATCTCACTCACTGAGAAAAGGGTATTAGATTTGGGTTGAAGGTATGACTGTGGACAACTACTTGCCATAGTAGATAGAGTGCTGGCCCTAGTCAGGAAGCCCATCTTCTTGAAGTCAAATCTGGCCTCAGACACTTACTAGCTATGTGACACTTAACCCTGTTTGCCTGTTTCCTCATCTGTAAAATGAGCTGGAGAAGGAAATAGCAAACTACTCCTGTATCTTTGTCAAGAAAACTCAAAAGGGGTCACAGAAAGTTGAACACAACTGAACAACAACAAAATGACTATCTTTGTGTAGCTGAATTTGATTGGAGGAGTATGCCACAGGAAATGACTTAAGTTAAGGAAGTGGGAGGTTAGGGTATTTGAAGGAATGTTAGTATGTTGATGTTCTTAATATGAGGGAAGGAGTTGGAGAAGAGAGAAATGACTGACCCAGGCACTTAACTCCTTTAGGAAGGGAAGAGAGTGTCTTAGAGGTCAGCAGAATTTTGACTGATACATATGGATAAAATTGCCAAACTGGCCACCTTACCATTCCTTATACACAGCATTCATCTCCCATTTTTCTTCCATTGTACAAACTGACCTCACTCTTGGAATATACACTCAGTTCTTCTATAATGGTTGTTTTGAAAATGTGAATTTGTTCCAGCATGGTTGATGTATTAGAAAATAGTTTAGCATAATGCAAATTCACCTTTGCTTATGCATGATTTTGTCAAGTGCAGAAGAAAATGCACCATGGTGGCTGGGCATTCATGGAGGTAGAAGTGAGGGGAGGGGTGGGGAAGAGAAAGTAGAGAAAGTATAACTCCAACTGGGGGAAAGTGCTGCTGAAGTCATCTTCCTGGACCCAGGATTGAGTGAGAGCAGTTACTGGTGGTAGGGGTCAAATAACGGGGGGGTGGTTGAGAGTCAGGGTCTGCAGAGACAGGCAGTAAAGAACACACCCAACAAATAATTCCTTGTGTGGCTCCCCTGGCACAGACACATCTTGGGACGAGCAACCTGAGATCACCACCTCCATGGAACTAAGCCCTTTGAAGTGTATTTGGTTGGGGGCGGGGTGGTTAGTGTTACTCATATTGGGGCTTCAGTGGTGCCCACTTCCAACTTCAGGTTTTTGTCAAGGTAAAGTGCCATATTTATTGTATATCTTGAGGTATGTGTGGGTGGAAGGGGACTGGTCCACACCCATGCACCCCACCCTTGCCTCCTCCCTAGCTGTGGGAACTAGGGTGCAGAATGAGCAGCAGAGGATATCATCACTATTAAAGTATTTTTGTATTAACAATTTAATAGAAATAAAACTGTCCTACCATTTTTATTAGGTTCCCATCTTTCTTTTTTTTTTTTTGGTCACTAACAGACTTTTTGAGTGTTGTATCCCTAACCCTAGAATCCTCATAAGCTAGGTGGTTTTTATTCCATGGTATTACAGTCTTGGGATTTTTAGGAATTTCTTGTTATAGCAGAACTGCCTGTACTCCATCCTTACCACCTAAGAATCCCTTTTTTTTTTCCAAAGCTTAGGCAAATTTCCATATCTTACATGAAGCCTTTCCAGATCCCTTCTACCCAAAGGCACTAGTGCCTACCCCATATAAAGCTACTCTGTATTCATTCTGTATATATTGTTCATGTTGTACACAACACGTTCACGTTGTCTCCTCCTACAAAATGTTGGGGTTTTTAGGGCAGATACAGTTTCATTTTTGTCTTTGTATCCCTAGCATTTGGTACAAAGTAGTGCTAAATAAATGCTTATTGATCGACTGTGTAATGATCTGAACTATCCAGAAATGAAATGTTCTGCCTCAGATGAAACAAGCAAAGGCTAGATGACAATTTGCTAGGTAGTTTGTAGATGGAATTTTTCTTCAGATAGACCAATTCTGAGGTCATGGGAACACAGATTTAGAGCTGGAAGGGGCCTAAGGAGTCATTCACTTTAACTATCTCATTTTATAGATGTGGAAACTGAGGTCCAGATAGGGTTACTTCTTTTTCTAGGTTAAGCAGGTAGAAATTAGCAGTGCCAGTATTCAAATACAGATCCTCTGACTTCAAAACAACATTTATTGCCAGTACACCATGGGTTCTATGTATAAATTTATCACAAGAGAATAAAACAGGAATTGTTTTTTCTTTGGATTTTTTTGATGTATTAGAAAATAGTTAATTTGGTTGGGGGGGTGGTTAGTGTTACTCATATTGGGGCTTCAGTGGTGCCCACTTCCAACTTCAGGTTTTTGTCAAGGTAAAGTTGCCATATTTATTGTATATCTTGAGGTATGTGTGGGTGGAAGGGGACTGGTCCACACCCATATACCCCACCCTTCCCTCCTCCCTAGCTGTGGTAACTAGGGAGCAGATTGAGCAGCAGTCAGAGGATCTCCCCAATAATATATTCATAGAATGATTGATTACTGTGTCTACTTGGATTAAAATTGTTATATAGCATCTTTAATTCACACCTTTTTACTAAGCCTTTTGGGGAAAGGCTAATCATCACAATGCTTAGAAATCTCAAAGTGTAAATCTAGAATCCGAGTTAATAGATGATACCTTGCTTGTCCAGCAAACTCCTCCTCTTTCCCTCCTTCCTGCCTCATCCTTGCTTCCCCTGGCTCTACCCTCCACCCCTCAAGTCCTCCCACCCCAACCCCCACCTACGAGGATTCCTAACAAAGTCAAAAGGAGAAAACTGAGAATCCATCTTTGGAGCTGACATGCCACCACTTCAACATGGATAAAAATGTGTAAGCACTCAAAACTTCCCATCTACAGCCTTTGTGAGGCCTTGGTGAGCTTTGATAAATCTCATTCGGACACCAGAGTCTCTTGAGTTTTCTTGCATTCTTTTCCCTAGTGGAGACACTCAGTTACCCCAAAATCACTCATTTGGGAGAGGCCCATCAGCCAAATGTAAGAGTTGAAAGGGACAGGTGAAAATGATCTCACCCGGGCAATTTCCAAAGTTATTTGTCCTCTTGTTTCCAGTCTATTTTCCTTTCCAGTCAATCCTCTACCTAGCTGTCGGAACAGTTAAAGCCCAGGGCAGACGGTAGAGCCCTTGTCCAGAAGTCTTCTGCAGACGGGGCGGTGGAAGCTCCCCAACCCAGGCCGTCCCGCAGCTCAGCCGTCCCCCCCCTCCCCCCCAGCAGACCCTCCCTCCCCTGCGGCTTGCACGTGCCTTGAAGGCGCTCTTCACCGCCGCCTTTTCACTTCCTTTAAAGCTCAGCTCGGTCGCCTTCTCCCAAAGGAAGACTTACCTTTGTTCGTCCTTCCCGCCATTTGTGCTTTCTCCTATGGGGGAGAGAGGGTGGAGTGAGGAGCAGGAGAAGAAGACTCCAGATTTGCAGTTCGGTGCTCTGACTCGTGCCCGGGAGGTCAAGAGCAGGTTCACAGCTGGAAGCCTTTTTCAGGGATGAGAAGGTGGCTTCCCAGGAGCCACGGACTCCATGCTCTTTTCCAAGGACCACATTAATCTGCACTGTGATGATACCGAACAAAGCCTTCTGGGTTTCAATTTCCTAAGGTCCCAAACGCCAATATCTGCACCGTTCATCGAACAGGGCTGAAATCTTTGTAAGTTTCGGGCGGATTACGCTAGGAAGCAGCCTGACCCATGCTGCTCTTCCTTCCTAGGTTCCAGCTCGGGTCGGAGGAAGGTGGGTGGTGCGAGCCCCGCCCCGGCTCCGCCCCCTCCACAGACCGCGCCCCTCCGCTTCCGCCACTCGCAGCGCGAGGGGGCGGGGCCACAGGCGCGAGCGCGGGAACCCGGCGGCGGCGGCTACAGTGGAGTTGCCCCGACCTGAGTCCGCTCGGGATCCTTCCTCTGCCTTCGCAGCTCCCCTCCACGCGGGGCTGAGACCCGGAGGGCGGAGAAGAGCCGTGTGAAATGTATGCATCGCTGCGGGCGTGGGTGGGTTCGGGGATGGGTGGAGTTGGGTTCCGCTTCCCCCAACCTGGGAGGACTGCATGGGGGAGTTTGGCGGGAGAAGGGTCCTCACGCCCCGCAGGGCGCAAAGGCCGACTGGCTGCACACCTGGCCAGGAACCCCTCGGGAGAGAGCCAGGGTTGCGGTTTGCTTGCGGGATCAGCGCCCTTCAGGGCCCCCTCCTCCCGACTGCAGATTCCCCGGGAGAAGTGGCGGTCCTCTCCAGTTGCCTCCTCTCTTCCTCTGCAGACTCGCGGCTCCGCGCCCTGTGATGGGCCCCCTCGTCCTGCCCCTTCTCCCTCTTCCGGTCTCCGCCCCCTCTGTCCTCGCGGGTGGGGGGCGGGAGGAGGAGAGGGCCGAGCGGGGCCGTCGGGACCGTGCATGGACTGTGCATGGACTGTGTATCTCGTGGTCCTGTGCTGGGGGCATTAGAGTGAAAGCCCCGGGATTGTCAGGGGCCCCAGTCCGCTCTCTGGGTGGAGAGGACAGTGTACCTGGGCGTGCCTTGTCTTAAAACCTGTGCAGGTAACGATGCCCCTCGGTGTGCTCTGTCATTATAAGCAGAACCCGCTGCCGAGAACCTGAGGGTCCAAGAGAATGAAGGTCATCACTTGTGAAATAGCGTGGCACAACAAAGAACCAGTGTACAGCCTGGACTTCCAGCATGGGACCGATGGGAAAATTCACAGATTGGCTTCTTCGGGGGTAGACACAGCTGTGCGGGTAAGTTCAATATTTGCAGAAAAAAAATTTTTTTAAAAGGGCAAATTATAGACTCCACTTTTAGCCGAAATCTTAAATCTAATGATGGCAAAAAAAATGACGTAGGAGTGTCAGATTAGGGAGCTGTTCTTGATCTATGGAAAGAGCCTTGACTGGGAAGTCAGGAGATTCTGGCTTCTGGTCCCAGATTGTTTCTCTGTAAAATGAAAGGGTCTTTACTAGATGATCTATAAAGTCTTTTCCAATCTATATATTTACATGGCTCAAAATGACCGGCCCACAGAGTTTGAAAGAAAAACAAGGTTTCATTTTTTTTTCAGTTGCAGTCTAGCAGTAGTTAACTTGGTACAGGTTATTTTAAAGTTTTCAGTCAGATTTCAGTTTGTTCATTAGGGGACTAAGTTGTTTTAGGGAGAAAATAAATGGTTAAAGTATGATAAAGTAGATGGGAGAAAGCAAATAGTTAAAGTATGATAAAGCAAATAGAGTGTTGGGCTTGAAATCAGAAAAACCTGACTTCAAATAGTGTGTGTGTGTGTGTGTGTGTGTGTGTGTGTGTGTGTGTGTGTATAAGTCATTTGACCTCTCTGAGACTTAGTTCCCTCATCTCATCAAATCAGATATAAGAAAAGCTTTGGACAGTACCTGGCACATAGTAGGTGCTATATGTATACTTACTCCCTTCTCCCAACTTCATCTGTACAATGGGATTAATATAAACTGTGAGATCTGTTTCATGAGGTTGTGAGGATCAAGTGAAATGATGCTAACCATTTTACTTTTTTGGTCTGGGCCTGTGATTTTATTAATTGTAGGGACTTCTTCCCTCAAATCATCCACCTGCTCGGCAGCTTAGTCTTAAAGACCTTGAAGCACTGAGAGGTGAATACTTGCCCAGGGCCACACAGATATCATATATCACAGGTGGGACTTGAACACAGGACTTCCTGTCTCTGAGGCCAAATCTTCTTTACTGCCTCACACTGCCAATCATTATTATTATTATGTAACTAGTTAGAATTAGACTCTAGTTTGATTCCGTGGCTCTGTCAGTTAGTCTGAACCCCAGTTTCCTTATGAGGCCAGTGATGCTGACTCTCTCACAGTAGTGTTTTGAGGATTAAGGGATATAACATTTCTGAAAGTGCTTTTTAACCATAAATAATCTAATGGATCAATGATGTCTACCTCCAAGTTGTGCAGATTGCTACCTGCCCATCTTATCCAATCCTTGTTTTTCCCTGATTCAACAGAAGAACTCCACCTGTGGTGGATACAGAAGGAATTCTCATTCTTTTAACATTGCATGAATACACATGGAACATATGCTCTGTCTTTTTTTCCTTATCATACCTCATATAATAAAAACTTTTCTTATTTCAGAAGGCCTTTATTTTGCACTTAAAAAGGAAAATTGTTCTGTTTCTGATAGTTATTTGTTTCTGACATTGTTTATATTAATGATACTATTTTTTTGTAAACAGATCTGGAAAGTAGAAAAAGGACCAGATGGAAAAGCCATTGTAGAATTTTTGTCCAATCTTGCTCGCCATACCAAAGCAGTAAATGTTGTTCGGTTTTCTCCTAATGGTGAAATCTTAGCATCTGGGGGAGATGGTGAGTACTGTTACATTTAGAGTATAATTCTAGAAGCTATCTACCTCAAGCTTCAAGTAAAATTAGGAAATGTGAACTTTTGGCTTGGGAAATAGCTTTTTAAATTCAACAGTTCGATTTACCAAATATGACCTATATAATAGGTGCTTATGACCTTGTAGTAGATGATGGTCATAACAAAAATGAAAAATGACATAGTACTTCTCTTGAAGAAAGTTACAGTCTAATGAGGGAAGACAATATGTACTAGAGTCCTCTTGGTTCCTTGGAACTTTAAATTTTGATACAAGGTAGAATGTAATAGGCACACAGGGGAGAGCACTTTCATTTGTGCGGATCATGAAGAAGATGGCATCTGATCTAGGTCTTAAAAGCAAAAAGGAGGCATGGATCTGGTCTTTGTGAGTTCTTGGAAGTAGGAAGGTTTAGGATGAGATCAGTCAGCCAGTCAGTAAACATTTATTAAAAGCCTACTGTGTGCCAGGTACTAAACACTGGGGATACAGGTTTGGAAAGTTAAAATATGGTCCCTGCCTTCAAGGAGCTCACAGTCTAATAGAGGTAGACAACACATAAGGTTAGTGGAAAGCATGGCTGAAATATAAAGAACACAAAATGGAGTATTCTGGAATAAGACTGGAAAGGTTGATTGGCTCAAAATTGTAGATAGCATTAAATATCCTACCAGAGTGTTCATATAGTCAGTAGAGAACCACTGCCAGTTTTTTGAGCAGGACAATGACATGATTAAAAAAAATTTAAATTACAGTAAAAAAATGACCTAAGAAATGTTGTGAAAGCTAGATAGAAGATGGGTGAGACTGAAAGCAGGGAGATAAGTTAGGAGGTTATTACAGTAATTTAGGTGAGAACTAGTATGGCTATTATGAGGTTGAGTTTATGTAATAGCAGATAAGGGAGATATGGTATAAGTAAAAGTAATCAGACTTGGCATCTAATTGAATGCATGCATTTGAAGATGAGAGGAGTCAATGAAAACTGATGGGGTTTTAAGCCCATTTTGAACCTTCAGATCAGTCATGTGCTTGTCTTTTTCTGGACCATCAAAAGGCTGAAATTGATAGCTGAAAGGATCAGCTATATTTGATTGTGGCTCCTTTCTTCTGGTCTTGGAATGGGAAATAAATATTGATTCTGCTTGTTATTCTTTTGGAATCTATAGATATCCATTATAAACAGTGAGAAAGTGGTGAATACATAGTTTTATAATAAGATTTAAACTCCTTGTCTTGGCAAGATAGAAATGGTTTAATATCCTTATCCCTTGAGTTGACTTTTTTCTATTTAGAATTCCTCTTGATAACAGATAGACTGATTTGTGTTTTCTGTGTGTGCTTTCTAGGGATGAAGAGTTTGAAGGAAAATCGAAAGTATTTTTTATCTTCCAGTTCCACTAAAGTTTCTAAAGGCTGTTTCCAGCCTTTGTAATAATAATGTGTATATTGAGTAATTGAGGTGCCTAGAGTGCTGGGGTTGGAAATCAGAGACACTTAATTAAGTTCAAATCTTACCTCTGACATGACCGAAGCTGAGTCCCTTAACCTACGTGAGTCTCTGACAACCTTCCAGGAGTTTTACTGAGTCTAAGATTCTGCCTGTTTTGTAAAAGGCGTTCACATTCTGGGAGTTCTCCATGGTGATGTGAGCAGAGATCATTTCAGGAAACAGTAATGTTTTTGGAAATAGTCAACAAAATATGATCTGTAATCAAGATTAATACCCCATAGATGCTGCCATTTTGTTGTGGAAAGTTAATGATAACAAGGAGCCAGAACAAATTGCATTTCAGGATGAGGATGAGGCACAACTGAATAAGGAGAATTGGGCTGTCATTAAAACATTAAGGTAACTTACCATATATAACATATCTTTTTCACGTTTCTATTTCAACATAATACAAATTTTGGTAAATTTAAATTTGCTTTAAACATGAAATTTTTTTTAAAAAAATTAAAATGTTCTAATACAAAATTGAATTAAATTTTCTTGCTTTTTTAAAGTTACAAATTCTTTTTAATGTAGTTGACTGTAGCTGTATATGAATATATGGTCTCGAATCCAGTAGAATTTTGTTTAAAGAAATCTCATTCTAATATACTTTAAAAGCACAATAACTGTTTTAAAACAATTTACATTAAAAAAAAACATGCTGCTAAGATAATGTCTAATATCTTTCTGTCTCTACTTTGTATTTCAGAGGGCACTTAGAAGATGTGTATGATATTTGCTGGATGACTGATGGAAATTTAATGGCTTCTGCCTCTGTAGATAATACAGCTATCATATGGGATGTTGGTAAAGGTAACTAGTAATTTCTTTTGGCATTTTTATCTTTAGGAAACAGAGAATACCAAATAATTACATAAAGTTCATACTACAAGGGAGTTAAGAGCACTAAGCAAAAGAAAAAAAAAACCTTCAGTGGATTTACTTAGATGGTCAACTTTCCAGTGGTAGGGCTAAATAGTTTCACTACCTGAAGCTGGAAGTTGAGCTTGGCAGTAGGTAGTAGGTTGGCCTCATTGTTTGGGCACTAGAATGTTTGGTGAGATTGCCAAGAACCCTAAGTAAGGTCAGTGTTGAAGAGAATTCTTGGGTATCAAACAGGAGACATTTAAGGAATGGGTCTTCTTCCCTGACAGCGTGAGATCAGAAGAGTCTCATAGTGAAAACAGCTAGAAAAGTCCATCAGGAATTTCTTTACACCAAATCTCGACATGTGTGAATTTGACTTAGTGGTGTTGAAGAATTGATTCAATACTCTGCATTGTTCTTGTTTGGCTGAGGTATTCTTCATTTCTCATAGCTTCAAGGAAAAGAAAAACAGGCTGGAGACACACTAATAGATGCCATAACCAAATGTTTTGTTGAACTGGAAAAATCTGTGCAATTTAACAGTCTTTTGAACTGGGTTGGGAAGAGAAAAGATAAATTGGGGTATTATAGAGTTAGAAGACAGAAGAATAAGTTCATAGTGATTAGGTACAACTGAAACATTCTGGTAACAAGTAACATATTAATAGGATCTAATTATAGGAAGTTGAGCAGAAGCAAAGTTTCTTTTGGTAAAGATAGTTTCTAATGGTCCAGGGTGTCTGATGTATCCATAGTTCTTTGCAGTAATGTTCAAGATCTCTAGAAGCACAACAAAGTAAGACACATTGATTCCACACTAAGCTCAAGTTTGCCTAGTTATGAGTTTTTCTTCTGTTATGTAGAACAGAAAGCTCAAATATACCTCTTAAAACTAACCATCACACACCACTTTTTGTTCTCTTTGCTACTGTTGGTTACTCTCACCCATCTCTCTCTAGTCATACTAGTACCATATTTCTCTGAGGAGTGGCAGTGGTCAACCTCCTTTCAGGAAAGTTGATCTTTCTGGTGAATGGTACATTTGTGGAACCAGGTTCTATGAGTATTTTGTGCTTGGGACGTCACTGGATGGCTGCTTACTGGAGATTCTTGAACCTTCTCATCATCTACTTTTATCAGTAGACCTCTTCCCATCTACTGATATTCTATCTGGATACATTCCCCCAAAGTTAGGATGCTCCTCCCATTTCTTAATTTTCTCATCTTAGTGATACTTAACAACCAACTGCTGAATAACATACCCCCCCTACCAACTCCAGCTGCCTACTCCCTCATCTTCATCCGTCTTAACCCTGTATCCCACTCCAGACCTGCCTTCCAGGGTATCCTCCAGAACTCCTCATCTATAATTAACAAAAATCTTTTCATTTTAGACCTCTTCCTCTCTTGCTTCTCCCATCTTCTGTCATTCACTGAGACCTAGCTCTGCTTGGATGACACCACATCCCTGCTCATCCTTTCTACTACTGGTTGTACCTAAATACTTCTCAACTCATTGGTCCTGGAAGAGGAAGCCTTGGAAAGCTTCTTACCACCTTCAGACTTTCGCTCCACCATCTGTATTCAGCTACTTTTCCTCTTTTGAGACTCACTGTATACAAATTTATTGCCCAATCCAGATATTGGTGGCTATTATCTAGTGACCTCCATGACATCTTCCTTTCTGAATTAGTTCATTGCCTCATTCACAGTCTCCTTTGCCTTAACTCCTTTTATATTAGGATACTTCAGCATACATTTTAATGTTCCTTCAAATACCCTAACTTCCTATTTCTTCTAATTGAAAATGCTCTCTTCATAGATGCACATGATCTCTTAAATGTCAAATCTAATGTCCTTTTCTCAGTCTCCTCCATCTTGATCTCTCTGCAACTTTTGGCATTATGACTACTTTTTTCCCCTGGAAATTTTCTCCTCTTTGGGTTTTCTTGACACTTTTGTTCTCCTATCCATCTAACTGCCCCTTCTCAGTCTCCTTTGCTGGATCTTTACCCACGTCATGCTCACTGTCCTGTACTCTCTTCTCTTTTATTTTTTCAGTTGGTATTCTCAGCAACTCCCATGGATTCGATCATCATCTATGTGATGGCAATTCCCAGATCTATGCATCTAACCTTGGTCTGTGCCAGGCTCTGATCCCACATCACTAACTGGCTAGTGGGCATTTCAGACAGCCTGAGCTGTAGGTTTCTCACACTCAACATTTTCTTTTCCCTCTTCTCCTTCAGACCCATATATCTTCTGAATTCTTACTGTCAAGGGCACAGCCATCCACCCTGTCACTGTGGTTTGCACCTACTTTGTCTTCCTCAACTCCTCACTCTCACTCACCAGTTAGTTCTTGCTGCTTCTGTCTCCACAATATATTTGTATACATCCCTTTTTCTTCACTCACCACAGGTGGCTCAGGCTTTTGTTACTTCAGGACTAGAGTATTGTAATAGTCTCCTATTTGTCTTCCTGCTTCATCTTTCTCCACTCCACTCATCCTCCACACAGCTGCTAAAGTAATCTTCCTGAAAGGCAGATCTGGCCATGTTGTTCCCCTCCTCAGTAAACCTCAGGAACCTCTAGGATCAAAAAAAATCTTTGATTGTTATTAAAAGTTCTTCCCAGTCTCTCTCCTTATTTTCTTTCCAATATCCCCTTTCTCCTCTCCTAAACACACTCAGAAATCCAACTGTACTGGCCAGTTTCCTGTTCTGGACACATGATATGGCATTTCCTATCTCTGCCTTTCCCCCTTTACTTTCTGGAATTTTCTTCCCTCACCTGCACCTTTAACCTTCTCCAGAAGGCTTTTCCTTGTCCCCTAACTCCTAGTGGTTTCCACTCTAAGGTTTCTGTTCTAAGCCACCTTGTAACTACTGTACTTTGTATCTTTTGATCTGCATTGGTAGAGGAAATTCCCTTCTGTGAGCTACATATTCCAATGAAATGACAGGTCCAGAAGAATACCAAATAATTATTTTCATTTTAAAGCCAGCTGTAAGTATAATACAATTAACAATGTATGTCTTTGCTGATAATACTTAGATGACAGGATTCTTTCTGTCTAAATCCTACTAGGAAATTGACAGAGAAATACTTCATTTATTCAAAAAATTGCTTTTAGGACATTACCTCTTTCATATGTGAGACTTTTGATCACTGAAAGAGGAAGAAAATGAACTTTTGAGACACAAAAGGAGTTTTTTTAATAAAGAAAAAGAATTAAATTAACTTGGAAAGATATGAAGGGTTGGTATATGGAGAGTAATAGCAAAAGAGGCAGAAAAGGAACATTTGTTTATGGAAAACTGATAAAATTCTAGTGGGAAGAAACGGTTTTTCCATTAAAAGGACTGCTAGGAGGACCAAACAGAGAAAAGGATCTGTTTGAGGACAGAGAACTGACTGAGGCTACAGGGCATTGTAACTCATTCATTTGCACATAACTTTTCTTAGAGATTGAAAGTTTAAAGTCACAAAGTGGTAAATCAAGCAACTGTTTGGAGACTATGAGATAATTAAATAAGGATTCTTGGCTTCATAACTAATAGTTTTTCCTTTTAAAGGAAAGATGCGTTACTGAGCTCAGACTTGAGCCACTAAGTGTTGAAAAGCCCAGCAGCCGAACGGACAGACACGTAGGTAGAAGAAGCTGAGTGAGAAGACAAGTAGCAGGACAGTAGCAGACAAACAGGCTCCAGCAGTTGTACTTGGGAGCTCTTAACTTGAAACTCAGTTTCATTTTGGGGACTGGCTGAAGGCTAGGAGCCTTCGAATTGGAAGAGAGCTGAACTCTGCTGCAATTTCAGCCATTACCCTTTCTACATATTGAAAGGTGAAATTTCTCAGAAGCTTCTGGTTGATTTCTGCTGCTTCTCTCTGGCTGGAAGAAAAATAAGGGAGGAAGTCAGGTATTACAGTTTCTTTGCTATAAAAATAGGCTGAAGCTCATTGCACAAACCCGCATCTCGTTGAGTGAAGAGCTGGGAGGGCTTGTCTGCATTACTCAGAAAGCACAAATGAAGATATTGGCAGTTCACTAGCTTAAAGGAACTGTTTATTGTCATGATAGTGTAACTTCCAGCTAAAAGACCTTGTCACTACTTCATCAGTTCAAGAGGAGAACAGATTTACTCAGCAGTAGCAGCGAGGACCAGAAGGGGTGCAATCAGCAGAGAAACAGCTTCTTGTGATGCAGATTATTCATAAAGGGACCAAGGACGTCAAGGCCTGAAGCAGAATTCTCTGCTGTCCCAGGAACCTGTAATGGCCTCATCAATATGTCTCTTGAATAGTTTTTATAAATATGTGCCCACTGTCCCCCATAGATACTACACCCATTGTTAGGAGAATGTGGCCCAAGTTTATGAGTTAACTGTGATGTAGTTATTATTTCCGCGTTGCTTTATAAAATATTCATGGTGTATTGAATATTATTGATTTATCTCAATTATTAAGTAAATGTTTTATGTTTAGGATTTAATGATGTCATTATTATGATTTGTTTTATGTAAATGGGAAAAATACTGATGGAGATTCAAGACCTACAGTGACAAGTAGAGAGAGTATATCCCCCCACACCAGAGGTATCCGTAAGACCCTGAGTTTGAGGCATAGGCACATGGGAGTAGTCTTTCTCTGGGAACCCAGACTTGCTAGTATGAAGACAAGTTGGGATGGGTGAACCAGCCCAGAGAAAGAGACTGCCCATGCCCAGTTCCAGATACTACCTTGTGTGTATGTGTGTGTGTATGCAAAAGAGGGACATGGAGAAAAAAATCTATGCTAGGTATTCCACACATTTGTTACATGTAAATGAACCAAAATTACAAATTTGAGATATATCGGGTGTTTTTACTTACACGTGCCCACGTGCACACACACACACACACACACACACACACACTTTCCTGATGTAACAATGGCAAAAGAATAGTAATCAATAATATGTGAGTTTATATGGCAACTGAATTCTATGTATAAATATAATTTCATCTAAAGATATTTAGGGGGGTAGGTGGCACAGTGGATAGAGCTCTAGCCTTGGAGTCAGGACACTTAATTAGCTGTGTGACCATAGGCAAATCACTTAACCCTGTTGCCTCACCAAAAAGCAAAAAATAATAATAATAATAATAAGCAAGGCATGATCTCTACCCTCAGAAGTCTTTCGTTCTAATTGGAGAAAAAAATATAAACACAAGAAATTAAGTAATACAAGACATAAATGACAGTTCAGTAACAATGTAACAAATATTACCGCCAGAAGAACATGGTTAGTTTCCAAATGAACACTGCAAAGTGAAAATTACTCAGTAGTTTATGTCATTTGAACTTGAGTAGAGGTTATATATTATTTTGTGTGCTTTTCTAGGACAGAAAGTTTCCATATTTAATGAGCACAAGAGTTATGTACAAGGAGTTACCTGGGATCCCTTGGGTCAATATATTGCTACTCTGAGCTGTGACAGGTGAGTTGGGGCTTTAGCAGCCATCTTCTTCTGCACTTTATTGAAATTGTTTGTAGTGACATTTAATGTTGGTTATTTTTTAGTGAAGGTTGTATGCCATATAATTGGGTTTTAATATCACTATTTTAATCATTACTAATCTTTTATAGCTTTAATGCTTTTACCATACTTCTTTCTCTTATTTTAGATTTTTCTGAATAATCAGATGTCAACATTTTCCTCTGGTAGAACAAAAATTCATTCTAAAATATCTACTAGAGGACGTTGTACATAGTAGGTGCTCAGTAAATATTTGTTGAATGATTTAAGCAGGTGTAGCTTCCTAACTTTCTTTAAATACTTTTGAACATTATGGTAAGGGGCATTTTAAAATATAGCGTTATAAAATAGAGTCTCTTGGAGCAATTCTAAACATTTTACTTTTTTTTTTTTTAGTATTTAGTCGACTTATGATTTCATTGCTTTGTATACTCCTTCCACTGATAAAGATCGGAATCCACTTATGCCTTCTCCCCCTATTCATATCCTCCTATAAATAATCTGGAAGTGTAGCCTCCAGACTTTGGGAATCTTCCTGTAGATCTTTTGACATTTTTTGGATATCAGTGATATTTGTGGATTCTTCATTGATTAGAAACGTAATACTTATAATTAATGACAAACATGCAAAATAAGGATAGAAATCTTACATAAAACTTTTAGCATATAACAAAGAACAATCACACAGGGTAATGAACAACAAACAAATAATATTTTTTCTGTTTGGCCCCTTTCAAGTCAACCTAAAGTCCTTGTAATGATCAAATGAGATTATAGTTGTAAAATGTTTAATACAATGCTGGGCATATTGTAAGTGCTAGATAAAAGATGACTACTACTACTGCTACTTCTATGTTTTTGTTTGTTTAATATAGTTGTCAGTGAATATATTATTCTAGTCCTATATTTCTTCTTTTTTAGCACCTCATACAAGTTCTTCCATATTTACTTCTATGTTTTACATTTCTGTTTCTTATGTTATATAACAGTAACATTAATATAACATTAACAATATGCCACTAATATTATGTAACATTAATATACCAGAGCTTATTTAACCATCTTCCAGTTTTTAGATGTGTTGGCTAATTCCAATTTTTTACTTTTTTTTATGTAAAAACACCCTTCATATTTTAAAGTATTCCAACTAAATCAGCTTTGAATATTTTTATAAAACTAGGTCCATATTTCCCTAATATATTGTATTTTAAAGATAAAGTTCAATAAAGGAATCATTGAATCGAAAGATATGTGATATATTGTATGTTGCCTTGTTATTCTCCAAAATGTTAATACCAGCTGACCATCTCCTCTATATAATGCCTGTTTTTTTTTTCAGTTCTGCAGACATTGAATTTTATCACTTTTTGCTAATTTTGCCATTTTTAGTGACCTTAATGGATATTAAATCCACCCCTCTTATTTTTTAAATGCAAAAATGGAGTTCCAAGGAGATTAAGTGACACCCAGGATAATACATCAAATTTAGAGTTTAAGGTGGAATTTGAACAAAGGTCTTCTGACTCCAAGTCCAGTGCTCTATCCACTATGGGCCACTAGCTCTCATATGTATCTTCTCACATTTTTCTGAATTTTTCATATTTGTCTTCTCTTGTTGCACTGTAATATTATGATATATAAATATACCACCTTTTTTCAATCATTCCTCAATTGATAGGCACCCATTTTCTGTCCATTTCTTTGCTGCCACAGAGTGTTGCTATGAATGTTTTGGTATATATATATATTTGGTATTTATTTTTCTCTTTGATCTCCTTAGTATGTATAACTAGTACTGGGATTGCTGAGTCAAGGGATATAAACAGTTTAATTAATTTCTTGCTTAATTCCAAATTGATACTTGGTATGATTAGGCCAATTCAAAGTTCCACAAATAATGTGTTTCTGTTCACCCCCCTTTTTTATTTTCTTTACTCCCCCATGATTTAAAAAGAGTGATTTTTATCAAATATCTACCTCTGATATATTGTTGTTGTTCAGTTGTTTTTCTGTCATGTCTGACACTTCGTGATCCCATTTAGGATTTTCTTGGCAAAGATATTGCAAATACTTGCCATTTCCTCATTTTACAGGGGAGGGAATTAAGGCAAACAGGGTTAAGTGACTTGCCCAGTATCACACAGCCAGTAAGTGTCTGAGGCCTGATTTGAACTTAGGAAGATGACTTCCAAGGCCAGTGCTCTATCCATTGAGCCACATACCAGCACTTCTGATATGTATTTGGTTCTATTTTTATGGTTTCTATTCTGTTCTGTTAATCTATATATCCTTTCTCCAGCACCAGACAGTTTTTACTGTTATTTTCATGGTACAACTGGTAGGACAAATTCTTAACTGTTTTTTTTCCTTCATAATTCTTTATATTCTTACTTGTCAAATAATTCTTCATATAAATTTTGTTATGTTTTTGTCTGATTCAGTGAAATACTCTACTGGGACTTTGGCACAAATTTAATGTCTAGATATTAGTTTGCAAAGTACCAATATCTTCACTACCTTTGCTGTACCTTTGGGTGTGCTGGTAAATGTTTAACAACTGACTGGGGGTGGTGGGGGTGGTGATGTATGTATGACACACTTTTAAGTTTAATCTGCATTCATTAACGTATTCTCCATCATTTTCTTAAGTCTAGACAATCAACAAAACAATAAACCGATCCCTGATTTTATAGCATTTGCTGATTTTTGAGGTTTAAATGCTCACACTGAAAATTTAATAATTAGCTTTCCCTCAAATCCTTTTTCCCCTCCTACCCTTCTATTACTGCAAGAGAAACACCATCCTCCCATCCTTCAAAATCACAACCTAGATGTCATACTGAACTTCTCACTATCTCTCACCACCCATATCTAATCTGTTGCCAAGGCTTATTGAGATCACCTTTATAGTATCTCTGGAATAGCATCCTCTAACACTAATACCACTCTGACATGGACCTTTATCACCTCATGCCTGGATTATTGCAATACCCTGCTGTTGGGTTTGCCTGCCTCAAATCTCTCCCCACTCTAATCAGTCTTCTATTCAGCCACTAAAATGATTTTCCTAAAGCACAGGTCTGACCATGTCATTCCCCTCATGCCTGTAATCCCTGCAGCTGGTGGAGGCAGAGACTGATGGAATACCTTGAGTTCCAGAGTTCTGAGCTGCAGTAGGGCTAGAACAGCTCTGATAAACATCCTAAGTCTGGAATAAACATGGTGAACCACCAGGGTTGCCTAAAAGGGAATGACTCAGTCCCTGTCAGAAAAATGTAGCAGGTTAAAACTTCCATGCTAATCGTTATTGGGATTGGGCCCTTAAAAACCACTACACTTCCAATTTGGGCAAGATAGGAAGACCCACTTCTTCCCCTCCCTTCTCCCTGACTCCCAATGCCTTGAAATCAGAAGAAAATTTTTCACACAGATGAAAGAGGCAGTGATTATGGAGGTGGGGACTAATAGGCTAAGAGTGGAAGATATGATCTCGGACCTACACGTTTCTCTAGAGAATATGTTAAGCCCTGCCTATAAAAGCTGTAATCAGGGAAAACCGTATCAGAGGTGATTATGAGGGTGAACTGGAGCATGTTGGGCTTGCCCTTTTGCTATTCCTCTTTTCTTCTCTCTGCTCCTCAGCCCTCTTCCTCCCCTTGTCCCTACTGCCCACCACCACTAGTTCTTTGGAAGTGACTTTATCTACTGATGGAGTCAGAGGGTGGGAGGATTTTAATACTTAGGAACTTGGGTGTGTGGAAAGGAAAGAGACAAGCATTTTTTTTTTTAGTTTTTTTTTTTTAACATGTGTTTTTAAAACTTTGGGTTACAAGTTTTCTCCCTTCCTCCCTCCCCACCCACCCTCATTGAAAAGGCAAGCAACTCGGTACAGGATATAGATGTGTAGTTATGCAAAACACTTCCATAGTAGTCATGTTGTGAAAAACTAAGCATATTTCCCTTCATCCTATCCTACCCTCCATTTATTCTATTCTCTTTTTTGACTCTGTCCTTCCTCAGAAGTTTTGCTTCTGATTATCCCCTTCCCCAATCTGCCCTCCCCTCTATCATCCCCCTGCTCTCTTGTCCTCTTTCCCCCTTATTTTCCTGAAGGGTAAGATAGATTTCCATACCTAATTGTGTATGTTATTCCCTCCTTAAGCCAAATCCTGTGAGAATAAGATTCACTCATTCCCTCTCACCTTTCCCCATTTCCCCTCCACTGTAAAAGCCTTTTCTTGTCTGTGAGATAATTTACCCCATTCTATCTCTCCCTTTCTCCTTTTCCCAGTATAATCCTCTCTCACCCCTTAATTTTATTTTCCAGATATCACCCCTTCATCTTTAACTCACCCTGTACCCTCCGTCTATCCATCCATCTATCTATCTAATCTATCTATATACATACATATAATTTTTTTCCCTCCCACTATCCTAATACTGACAAAGGACTCATGAGTTACAAATATCATCTTTCCATGCAAGAATGTAAACAGTTCAACCTTAATAAGTTTCTCATGATTTCTCTTTCCTGTTTACCTCTTCATGTTTCACTTGAGTCTTGTATTTGAAAGTCAAATTTTCTATTCAGCTCTGGCCTTTTCATCAAGAATGCTTGAAAGTCCCCTATTTCACTGAATGACCATTTTTTCCCTAAAGGATTATACTCAGTTTTGCTGGGTAGGTGATTCTTGGTTGTAATCCTATCTCCTTTGCCCTCTAGAATATTATATTCCATGCCCTCCAGTCCCTTAATATAGAAGCTGCTAAATCTTGTGTTTCCACAATACTTGAATTGTTTCTTTCTTGTTGCTTGCAATATTTTCTCCTTGACCTGGGAATTCTGGAATTTGGATACAATATTCCTAGGAGTTTTCCTTTGGGGATCACTTTCAGGAGGTGGTGGGTGGATTCTTTCAATTTCTATTTTGCCCTCTCGTTCTAAAATATCAGGGCAGTTT